ACTGCAAAAAATAAATAAATAAATAAAGGCATGTTCTCCTTTTACACATGTTAATTCTTCAAAAGATTCTCCGAGAGTGTCCTCTGACAGTGGTTCTATAGCATAATACAATTCTTGAAGATAATGTTTTTCAAAAGCAAGTAACAAAGTATTTTCAATTTCTCTCCTTGAAAAGAAAAGTTCAAAATGTGTTGCGCAAGTTAGCTGTCATAATGGAAATGACATGAAACGCCCACCCGGACGCTCTGCCTACCTGCCTCATCATGCACTGGAGAAGGCCTCGCATCAGCTTCACCACGTTCTGTGGAAATGAAGCAGAATCCGAAATAAGCCCAGGGTCCTTGCTCCAGGAAAACCGCCTCCTGCCTGGCCTGGCGACTTCCCTGAAATGGCAGGTCCCCAGCACACACGAGGGTTCTGACAGTGCACATTACCTCCACCTCTCCACCCGAGGACAGAGAAGGAAAATTCTTAAGGGGCTGGCTCAGATGGCATCTGCTGGCTCTTCAACTCCGTGATTCCTTGCTGACATTTTAACAACACAATGTTTAGAAGCCTAGTACTCTAGTGCTTTTTGTCACATTTCTTAGTAATTTATTTTTGTTACACCAAGGATGAATTAAGTCCATCATGCTTGCCCAGAAGTAATGATGTTTTGCCAAAATAGCCATTTGTGACAACATTACTGGGCTATTGAGTAAAGTTCTTACAAAACACGAATGGCTGCCAAGGTTTCTTAATAATATGATGTATTGCAAACAAGCACTATTATTATTATCATCATTATCAATAATAACAACAATGTCATATGAATCAATCAGACACTATGTCCAGGCATTGTACAAAACATTTTAATTGCTTGCATTATCTCTAATTCCTGCACTAGCCTGATGAGGGGGATTGTATTATTACCCCACTTTCTAGAAGAGGAAGCTGAGGCCGAGAGAGATGAAGTAATGTTGCTAAAGTCTCCCAGTTGGCGAGGGGCGCAGCAAGGACAGAGCCAGGCAGGAAGATGCCAGGGTTCGAGCTCTTAACCGATATATGTTGCCTGCCACTTCTTCCACAATTCAGGCCTGCTTAAGGACTGGTCTTAATAGTCCTGTTCAACACCCTATAAAACACGACTTCACAAGTGGCTAGAGAATGGGATATTCTGTAGATCAAAGAAGTCTGGCCAAAAGAAGTTTCCACCCCAGGGCATGAACATCTCTCTCAAACGATGCACATGGTAGGCAGGGGACGGCAAAGTGATGGGCCCTGAAAATTGATTGCCAGTGAAAAGTCTGAAAGGGATGGTCCCTCAGATCCTTCTAATTCTAAACTCCTAGGATTCTAGGACATAATCTCGCCTTATGTCATAAACTCTGCTGGGGCAGAAAATGTTCCCTCATAATTACAGGGCAAAATTAACAGTGTTAGATGCTATGATTAACATTTCTTACACCACATAGCAAACATTTGTTAATTAATTTCCCCTGAAATAAAGTTGTTTTCCATTAGAAGTAGTACAGAGATTCCCAACTGGGGATGATATTACCACCCCCCAGGGGTGGAGACATTTTCATTGACGATGATGATGGCGGTGGGAGCTGCTAGCATTTAGGGAGTAGGGGCCAGGGACCCTAAATGTCTGGCAGTGCACGAGACAGTCTCACACAATGAAGGACTGAACCTCCCAAGCCCCAAATGCAATAGCATCCTTGCTGAGGATCACTGGAAGGTTCCTGGGTTATTTTCTACTCACTGTACAGCAAAAGGCATTAGCCAACAATGAGGCCGGCTCGTTCTCACTATTGTTAGTCAAGGGGCAGCCAGCTGGGTCAACCTTAACCCAAGCCACAGAGGACTGCGTGTGTGTGTTTGTGTGTGTGGTGTGTAAATGGGCACCGCTTTATTTTGTCTCAACAAGGATGGGAGATCTGTAGGACATTAGTGTCAAGTTATACTATTACACGAATGATTCACTTACTTAAAAGTCATATGACTTCTTAGAGGAGCATTTGATGCTTACTTTATGCCATTTTAAAAATTACCTCTACTTGCCTTCCCCTCAAGTCCGGGTGATTTTGTCACCTCACACTCAGCACATCTGGTCAAATCCAAACCCTCTTTCCACTGTCAAGCTCCTTTTCATAGCCTCCCCCTGGCTGTCAAGCTTCCCTCACGCTGCCCATCACTCAGGCCCACTTTGTTCGCTATAGACAAGCACCGACTGGGCTGTAAAAACTCTTCTGGGACTCAGCGACCCACTGAATGGGAAAGGTCTGAATCACAGATGGATCCCAAGGTCTCCCACACCAAGAGAATGATACTTGAATATTTCAATGTCATCACTCAAAACACTCAGAAAATGCCTCCTGTGTTCAGGGACAGATTATTTTCTTATCAACTCAATCACGACAAATCTTTGCTTTGGTGGGTATCTTGGTTTCTGATTTTGGAAAAAATAAAAGGACTTTGTTATGTAGCAGGATGAGTAACATGGACACAAAAACTAGACAGCACAAATTTGGTTCAAAATTAAAGGCTGAGCATAAAATTAATAAGACTTCTTTCCTGGAATGGCTCAAATAAAAAGGTTATTTTTAAGGGAAGTTTCAAAAATATTTTCAGCAGTGGCACTAATGTTTGGATAAATATTCTTTCAATGTGACTATTCTGAATTTGGAATGTGTAGCTCTGGTGAGCTGATTTTTAAAAAACAATCATATTGGTTTATAATGATGTCTTGTATAGAAATATGTATAAAATGGACAGAGGCCAGGAATAGTGGCTCACACCTGTAATCCTAGTCCTCTGGGAGGCTGAATAGGAGAATCGCTTGAGCTCAAGAGTTAGAGACCAGGCCTAGCAAGAGCAAGACCCTGTCTCTACTAAAAATAGAAAAACTAGCTGGGTGTTATGGCAGGCACCTGTAGTCCCAGCTACTAAGGAGGCAAAGGCAGAGAAATAGCTTGAACCCAGGAATTTGAGGTTGCTGTGAGGTAGGCTGATGCCACAGATCTCTAGCCTGGAGATTCTTATCTCAAAAACAAAAAAAAAAATTGACAGAGCATGTGTGAGTGCAATGTAGCCTAGTCAGGCAAATTGATACTTAGGGGTTAGGAATTTGGATGCTTTCATTTCTTACTTGATATGATATATATATATATATTTTGAAACAGTCTCACTCTGTTTCCCTGGGTAATGTGTCATCAGAGCTCACAGCAACCTCAAACTCTTGGGCTCAAGTGACCCTCTTGCCTCAGCCTCCCAAGTAGCTGAGATTAAAGGAACCTGCCACCATGCCCAGTTAGTTTTTTAGAGACAGGCTCTTGCTCTTGCGCAGCTGGTCTCGAACTCATGAGCTCAAGCAATTCACCTGTCTCAGCCTCCCAGAGTGCTGGGATTACAGGCGTGAGCCACTGCACCAGGCCTTTATTTGATGTGATTTTTTTATATTATTATTTTATGAAGGGAAAAAGCTCAGAAAGACGAGTGTGAGATTGAGACCATCTAAGTACCTCCCCCAAATACTCTACAGCAGAAATGGAAGAGGGGGCTGCCCCAGACTGTTCTGCACACACAGCGACTTCCTCCTGGGTTTTTTAGTTTGAGGAAAAGGAGCTAAGCAGCCAAGATACAGCCAGCAGTCGCCATCACCTGTTCCAGTTCGTAGGCCTTGGCCTTGTCTTCGTCGCGATCCGCGTTCTTGCGGTAGGCCATGCCCAGGCCCCACACGGCCAGGATGCTGTAGATGTTGTCCCGCACCCAGGCATCCTTCTGCTCATGGCTGGCTGACAGCAGTCCCGTGACCGGATTCTATCAGAGAAGAGACACAAAATGGCTTGGCACCACTCTTCACATAGCTCCTGGGCACAGATACTCACCCTAAAGGGGTGCGTCAAGTTGGTAAAGCATTGAACCTGGGAGCAAGAAACCTGGATGCAGAGTCACACCCTACTTTCTAGATCTGTGTGCCCATGGAAGCCACATCCCTGATCTGGGCCATCCAGATACTTCATGTGTCTGAAAAGAAGGCACCCAGTCAGAGCACATCTGGGAGCCCGATTTAGCTACGGTGTCCCTGGTGTTGAAAAGGGCCCCTGAGTCACTCAAAAGCCAGACCTTCCCATGGAAAAAAAAAAAAAAAAACAACCAAAAACCAGAAAACAAAACTGTCACACATGTTCACAGCAGCATTATTCCTAACAGCCAAAAGTGGAAACAAGCCAGCTGTCCATCAGCTGATGAATGGATAAACAAAATGTGGTCGACACAAACAATGCCACATTATTTGGCAGAAAGAGGAAGTACTCCTACACGACATGGGTGAACCTTGAGAACATTCTACTAAGTTCAAGAAGCCAATTGCAAAAGGCCCCTGATTATGAGATCCTATTTGCATGAAATGGCCAGAATGGGCAAATCCATGGAGACAGAAAGCAGATTAGTGGCTGCCTGGGCTGGCAGCCGAGGTGGAGTGGGGTAGGAGTAGCTGCCAAGAGGCTTTTCTTTCTTCTGGAGGTGATGAGAAGGGTCTAAAATCGATCCTGGTGATGAATTTGCAACTCTGTGAATAGACTCAAAACCATCCAATTGTACATATCAAGAAGGTGAATTGCGTGGTAAATAAATTATACCTCAACACAGCTATTAATTTTTTAAAAGCCGGTCCTAATAAACTCTGTGCCTAGAAATAAAATGGATAAGAGAGAAAAAGAATCACATAAAGATAAAGCCTCTGTTGACTTTTCCTAAAAAAGATACAAAGAAATATATATCTAATAAAAGGCATCATAAAGTTAGAACTTTGGCCACTTATAAAAGTATATTAGTGAGACTAGGTGACAGAGTGATACCTTGTCTCTCACAAAATAAAAGAAAACAAAAAACATTACTCAAAAGGGTACCGAGGGCTCATGAAAAAACTTCTCTGTGTACTTTCAGTGATAATGCCAAGGTTATTAGGTAAAAAATACTGGCATCAGTTCACACGTTCCCACTTAAGGAATTAAATGTGTGACTTTCGCCTTTGATTTACGCCCTCCACAAAACATCTAAAACCCAACTGATATTACCCTCAGGGACAACAGCATCCAATGTGCTGACATAGTTCTACAGCCAGCAGCTATGAATATTTAAGTCGGCCAGAACTGAAGTCTAGGAATGGCCTAAGAAAAGTACAAGTCTTTATTCAGTAGTGGACTACTAATGTTTTTTTTTCAAAAATCGCCCTTCAACAATGCACAACATAAGCATCTCTATCTGTTCTGAAGCCTGTTGGGTAAGCCCGGGACAGGAAATCATCAGGAGATCCAGAGTAAGAACTCAGCCTCTTCCTGACAGCCCCACCAAGCGTGAGTCCACCGAGATAAGCAACCTTCCAATGATACAGAAGTAGCTCTTTCTCAGAGCACTAAGTGTGGTTTGGATTACAAAATATCACCGTCCTGTTAACCGAAAGCCGTCTCTTTTATTCCTTGGTTTGGGCTTAACTATTGGAGTGGACAGTCCGTGCCCACCCAAACCTAAACAGTCTGTCCCCTTCATTCAATGACAGAGATGCAGTCTGTTTCGGGGGCTCCCCATATTCAACACTACACACACACATGTCACATAAAATTAGGATGTTACTTCATTTGGCACAAGGAATATTTATGACTTGCTTCCCTCTTTAGGTCTATAAAAAAATCCTAATAACAAAAGGCTACCTTCCCTGATGCCATCTTGCAAGCTAAACGCAGGCAACCCCAAACCGTGGGAAGTAGGTGGGGGGATGTGTCCAGGCTAAGTCTGTGGTTTCAGATGTGATCGTTTTAACCATATGCTGCTTCCCAATCTTTTATAAATATGGTTTTTAGTTATATCCATGCCCATGAATAACTCTGGAGAAATGGACAATCATTTACATATCCCTTTGCCAGTTGTCTTTTTTTTGTTTCTCTTTTGCTTGGCTCCCTCCTCCCCTCGCATGAGCCATCGCATAAACACAGCCCTTGTATATTTTTTCTCTAAGCTTCTAAAATCAGACTTGATATATGTATATAGAATATGCTTATGCACGAATTCCTGTTCATGACGTGTCCAGTCCTTTACCCTTTTGACGGCTATTCATTTGTTTTCCGAGGTTTTTATTTTAATTTGCCCCTACAAAAGACTGCAATAAATATCCTTATAACATCTCTTCTTGTCAATGGTGCTTTTATTTCTATAAGAAATAATCCCCCAAATGAGACTGCTGGGTTGACAGGTTACATGCACATACACTTTTCATTGGAATACGTAGTCCTCATCCCTGCCAGCCACCTTATCAATGTTTTCAATTTTTTGTCCGTTTGATGGGTGCAAAGTGGTATCTCAACACTAGTTTTATTTTTTACATTTTTATTTCCCTGACTAGCTGTGAATTTAAGAAGGTAGCCACTCTTTTTTGTGTGTGAGTGTGGCATTGACTTTGCTCTTCTGTGAGCTAATTTCTGGTACTATCTCACTATGTCTACCTACAAAGAAAGACAAGCTTCCAGGTACCAGGTTTTAAGAGCACAGGCTCTGGGATCAGACCGTGGTGAAGTTCAAAGCTTGACCACAACCCAGCTGTGTGACCTTGAGCAAGTAACTCTGGCATCTCCACCTGTAAAATGGGATAACTTGCCTACCCTTCGTAGGGCTCTTAGTGAAGATTAAATCAGTTCATTCTTATCAAGATTTGTGGACTGTGTCTGGCACACATAAGGGCTCAACAACTGGTATGTTTAATATTATCGACCTATTTGAACAGCTTTCATTCACCTTCTTTCTTTTTCATCAAATTATAATAATTTCAGGTAATCAGATAAAGATACATGGCTGGGGAGGAATCTGCAAGTGAGCTTGATAGAACCATCATTTTTGTTCGGAAGAAAAGCAAATGAAAGAGAAGGCGTGCCTTCTTTTTATCTTTACTGTAAATCTTGCTCGTGGAGATATTTTACACCCCCCTGACAACTCTGCGCCCTCTCCGCGCTCAGGCCTTGCCTTTCCCCTTCACGTTTAGCCCTGAATTTTGTTCATTCATGTAAATCTCTCCTTCTGTTTTACTTTACCAAGCTTTCTGTGTGCTGTGCCCCCCCCACCCCAAATAATGACTAAATTACTATCGGTGGAAAATTCTGTAATGATATCCACTCGTCCACTCAACAGCTATTTCCTGTGGTGACCAGATGTGGGGTCACGAAGGACAGGGCCATTTATAATGAGCAGGAGACATCACGGGACAGGCTCAGTGGAGATAGCATGAACCCACACTGATACTGAGCACCTGTGCTTCAGGCAAACTTGACACTGATATCCTTCAACTCTACGAGAAGAGGCCCAAGACAGATGAGCCTGATACAAACTGCATTTCATCGAGGGCAAGGGGCCAGCAGCTGCTCAGATCGTCCTTTAGCTATTTATTTATAGGAGGCTTTATTCTTTTGGCAGATCCTCTCAGTCATTACAAATATTGCTACACTGTTAGTAAAAAATATATGTTTCTCTGTAAAGCATTAAAAAAGAAATTCCAAGGAGATGGCTGAGGTCTCAGCTCAAGTATCTCCAAAGACACTGTTGTCCATCCCCTGACCTGTGTTTTTTCTTCGTCGTTTCTCAGATCAATGCCATTTTCTGTTTGAGCTTCTGTGAGGCAAACTTTTTTGTAGGGTCAGATTTCTTCAGAGCCAAATCCTGGAACCCACACGTTCCTCTGATGCTCTAAATGCAGCTGGACATCTTTTACCTCCAAGGTGCTGGCCTTGTGATGTCAAGCAAGCCGGCAGGTTACTGTCACCACACTCTCGATAAAATCATCAGCAATCTGCAGCAGACGTACTCCTGTCTCTGGCGTGCCTGATATCTTTACCACTATAGGGCTGTTGGCCGTGGAGCCTTGTGGAGGGGCGCTGGCTGGTTCCAGTTTTATGGATGAGAAGTTGGAGAGGTTGATTAGGGCAGAGGGACCAAACTGGTTCATAATCTGCCAAGCTTTGGACTTCAGCTCATAGAGCTTATTAAGATCCTGCTTCTTTTGGGAGCTGTAAGCACCAAGGCCAATCAAAGGCCATAGTGTCTTGTCTCCCCATGATATGTGGAGACTGCCCCAATGAAGACTTTGTCTCGGCAGCTGGTCGGATTGCACAGCCCTCCCCCACTTCAGCCATTTACTTGCCCCTCTTTCCTTCTTCACCTCTTCTACTTGCTAATCTAGGGAAAGTGTCCTTGTCAGCTTCTGTGATGAGGAAAAAAGGCATGCCCTGAAGACCCAGAATGCCTTGGGCCCAGGGCTTGACCCTTATGCTCTGCTCTGGCAACAAATATCCCTAAAATTTCAGTGGCTTATTACAACAAACATTTGTTTCTCATCCACGCCTTGTGTCTATCCCTGGTCGGCTGTGGTTCTGCTCTATGTTATCTCTCCTCTAGGAACCAGGCTACTGGGGCAACTTGTATTTGAAACGCTGTCCATCTTGTCCAAGGAAGACACAGCAAACCACAAAAGTCTGTTCACCATCAAGATGTAACAATCCAAAACGTATATGAACCTAACAAGAGGTAAAGGAATAGACACACAGATGAACAGAACAGAACGGACAGTACAAAAATAGAGCCCCACAAAAAGGACAAACCACTTTCCGACAAAGACTTAAAGACAATCCGAGGGAGAAAGAACAGCCTTTCAAACAAATAGTGTTGGGACAACTCGATGCAGGGAAACAAACCAATTTAAACTCTACACCTGGATTTCCAGGCTTGCCAGGAAACTATCTTGTTCTCAGCAATTCCTCGGATAAGTTATGAGATTG